ACCCCCCGCCCCTAAATAAGTTTCTAATCAAATGCCAGAATGAAACATTGAAACCTGCCAAAATGTCCTACTTGGCTGCCTTCACTCTTGAAATCATTCCTTTTTATTGCATCTGACTAGGCAGAGAACAATAATGGAAATGCCTACCAACTGATGTTTCTGGCAATTTTGTGAATTATCACATAAAATGAAATGCTGAACTACATTCCTTTCTCCCTGGGGTTTATCTTCACACTCCTATTCATGCTTGGCATCCCCTCTGCTTGGTGTGACCGCAGTCCCAAAACTGAGCTGCTGAAGATTAGACTGTGATATGCTAATCATTTTGCATTTTAAAAAGACTAAATAACCTATTTAAGAAAACCATTTAGGTTTGTATAATTCTTCCCTTCTTCTTTTCCTTTTCTTCAGTAAGCTCGATGTGATTAGCTTCGATTAGGATCATACAATAAGCAGGGAAAGAACACACTTCAGAGATCCCCCATAGAATTTTGCTGGTGGCCCTCAGGCTGCAGATTTTACTGGCTTTCTGGGAGGAAGTGAGCTAGGTGCGATGAGATGACTAAGACAGAAACTGGCGAACATCTCAGGTTCAGTGATCAGAGTTATCAGATTGCAAATGTTTAGGAGGCATAATGTGTTCTAATGAAATTTCCAAGACTGCTCACTAAAAAAAAAAAAAAGGAATTTAGAAGATTTCTTAGTGCCAAATTAAAAACAGTAAATATTGCCGAAACCGGTTTGGCTCAGTGGATAGAACGTCGGCCTGTGGACTGAAAGGTCCCAGGTTCGATTCCGGTCAAGGGCATGTACCTGGGTTGTGGGCACATCCCCAGTGGGAGATGTGCAGGAGGCAGCTGGTTGATGTTTCTCTCTCATTGATGTTTCTAACTCTCTCTCTCCCTTCCTCTCTGTAAAAAATCAATAAAATATATTTTAAAAAAACAGTAAATATTAAGTATAACTTGATTAAGGAGGATTTGTACATCATTAAAGAAAAACTGGAGGGGGTGTATCAAAAGTATAGCAAACTAGAGAAAGTAAAAGAAATTAGGTCAGAATTGTTGATCTGTTCCACAGGCATTTCTCGAGCAGCTATTATATACCTGTCTCCGTGTTATATGTTGATAGTATAAAGATGAGTTAGTCTTCATCCTTTATCTTGTAAAGTTAATCTTGGTACATGAAAATGTAAAGAGATTAGTTCTTTTAGATACTGGTGAAAATGCTTCCAAATTGGGATAGTTGCTTTCTTTCTCCTCTTGGGCTACTTTTTGTTTTGAAACCAGAGAACCTATGGATCTGGGCTGCCAGTCACTACTTGTGCCAATTAAGCAGAGACAGGGTTGAATCATATATGAACATTTATTCCCATAATGCTGGCAGTATGGGAGAGCAGCAGGTCACCCAAGAAAATCTGCTCTGCACCCCACCCCCCATAAGCCAGCTGCTTATATGGGATACAGACAAAGATTACGTGGGGAAGTGGGCAAAAGGAATAAAAATGGGTATAATGGTTACAGATTATAGGCAATGTGGGCAATGTGGGCTGGGGGTTTGCAAAGGGCAGGGGGCATCGGGGACTCCATTGTTGCCTTTCCACAACAAGATTGGATGTTAATCTTTCTATGAAGATAGGCAGCTCCCAGATGAGGAGGATGGGCTGCATTTCCAGGTGAGCTCCCAGGTCCCGTGTATAATCCCCAGCCAGGTTTGAATGTGCTTCCTTTAATCAGAACAAAACAATCATGGTTAACAGAGCATGATTAATATTTCTTATTAGTACTTCTTATAACTAATAGCTAGTCCCCAATATTCTAATTCTACCCCTAACAGTTTCACATGAAAGAGTCAAGCTTCCAAAAGCAGGAAAGGCATTGCTTTGGTTAGAGGTGAACTTTTCACGTAACACATGGCCCACTGAAAAATCCAGACAGTGGCATATATTACTAATGAAGAATTTGAAAACATAGTACAATGTTCTGTAAATGAAAGTAAATATATATGTAATTAGAGGCCCGGTGCATGAAATTCATGCACTGGGGGAGGGGGTGTCCCTCAGCCTAGCCTGCACCCTCTCCAATCTGGGACCCCTTTCACAATCCCTTTCACAATCCGGGACTGCTGGCTCCCAACCGTTCGCCTGCCTGCCTGCCTGATTGCCCCTAACCACTTCTGCCTGCCAGCCTGATCACCCCCTAACCACTCCCCTGCCAGCCTGGTTGCCCCTAACTGCCCTCCCCTGCTGGCCTGGTCCCCCCCAACTGTCCTCCCCTGCTGGCCTGATCGCCCACAACTGCCCTCCCCTGCCAGCCATCTTGTGGCAACCATCTTGTGACCACATGGGGCGGCCATCTTGTGATGACATGGGCGTGGCCATCTTGTGCGAGGGCATAACAGTCAATTTGCATATTACCTCTTTATATACGGGATACTGTTCTGTATAACTCATTAACTAACTCTAGATATCTGCACAGTTTCCTTTTAAAAGAAGCCAGTGTGTCCATACCAGCATTCCCTGCCCATCATTCATACACCCACTAAATGATTGTACTTTCTAATACTGTACAGTACTGTACATAACAGGAAGGTCTTGGTATTGTTACAGATTTTACCAACCCATTCATTAATCCTCCAGAATCCTCTGAGAAATATAGTTAAACCATAACTAACCAATGTTTTCCTCACAGTAATTCTTCCAAGAAAGGAAAGCTTGCTTTAAAAAATAATGGAGGGTTATTTCAGGATACGATACTGGAAGATGATAGAAAAAACAATTATGAATTCCAAGAAAAGAGTAAACAGCTCTAAGAGGAAATATAATTATAGTACACTACTTGACTCTTTTTGGGGGAAAATGTAAGCAGCACAAGAAGATAGAGTCATAACAAAGTAACTGCATTAGGAGACAGGGAAAGGAAGTGAGTTAGTGTGAAAGAACTAAATTCTCATCTATTGTACAATACAGCAAATAGATGATATGAAAAATTATTAAATTGAGAAACAGAAGTTCAGAAAAAGAGAGATATTTTAAAATAAAAGAGAATTACAAATCCAGTGCGTGATCTTAGATTGACAAACCAACTACAAAGGCTATTTTAAAGGCAACTGGGGAAATTTAAATATGTACTAACTTTTATATGATAATAGAAATTGTCATTTTTCTTAGATGTGATAATATTTAGCTATGCATAATAAAGAATATCATGATAACTTTAATATATTTTAAATACATAAACATTTTTAAATACTTTAAAATGGCAAACATCAACATTTTAAAAACAGACTTTTCTATTTGATTTTGAACATCACCTTGATTTCAAAATGTGTTTAAGTAATTTTGACAATATATCTCTGGATTAGTACACAGCCACCACTATGTCCTATAGTTGAAGCTAATTTTTTCTAAGATGACTCTTGCTTTGCAAGATTCTGAAATTTCACAAAACAGATTTAATTACTTTCAGTGCACTTTACTTAATTAGGCAAGAATTCAGACAAACAGATTTTTGAAAGGTTTTTCATTATCAGATAAAAACTAAAAGAGACTGTGAACTAAGAAATTAAATTAACCAAATATTCTCCAAGTATTCCAATTGGTTAATAGGCATGGGTTGGTAAGTCTTGTTCAAACTAAAAATTCACATCCTAACTAACTGTTATGGGTTGATGGTTAAGAGCACAGCAAATGTGTGGCAAATACCAAGGGAATTCCTATGTCAGTAAGATTCTCAGGGTAGAGAGGACACTGGGAATGTGACCTACTTTAAAAATCAACAAAATAATCTTATATTTTAGTGATAAAATTATGATTTTAACATGTGTTTAATGAATAAAATACCATACCTGAGAGAAAAACACTTCTAGAAAGAATTTCACCTAAAAATGCATTTGACACACAAAGTAATATGGTGCAAATTTAACAGAGTTTTTAGTTGGTTGGTTAATATTTGTATCACTTAAATCCCTTTTGCAGTTATCTAAGGTGTAAGCCTTGATCCAATTTTTTTTATCCAATTTTTAAACTATTATATGAATAATTGGGATAAATGAAAGATCATTTAAAGAAAGAAACCAATACACTAAGGGAATATCCACACCACTTAGTTAATTGGAATGGCATAATAATACAGTCATATTTTAATTTGGTGGGACGGTGTTGACATGTAACTACTAATCCACTTAATTGGTTGATTTTAACTCATCAATAAGTATAATTAATTATTACCCCTTCATTCAACAAATAATTATTTAGCATCTATATACAGGTATGTGTGCTGGAGACTGGGAATACAGTAACAAACAAGATAAATTTGATTCCCACCCTCATGGATTTGGAAAGACAGGTGAAAAAAGAAATTTAAATGAAATATAACCAGTGTTCTCAGGGGAGAAGTCAATGAATGACTTGAAAGCACATAGCAAGGAACCTAATCATGTCACTGAAAATATAAACCAGGCACCCGACAGCCCTCTCTGTAACCAACCCCTTTCCTCAGGGTTGAAAATTCGAGAGTAAGTGCAGAATCCCAGTGATGTTGGTGGCTATGCAGGAAAAGGGCTGTCCCAGCTGAACACAGGATCCCTCTGCAGAGCACTGTCTCCATTAGCAATGCAGTTTATGCTGGCTTTGTTTTCCTGGAAAATGCATAGTAAGCTTTGTATCCCAAAGAATGCTGGGAGGGGCACTTGCCAGACTTATGAAGGTGGAATGACTATGGGTAGCTCTTGAGACAGGTGACAGGGTCGAAGATAAGCCTGCTCCTAACCTGAATATAGATATTAATAAGTATTGCAGCACCAAGTAATTCCAGAGAGACTATTAAAATGAATCTGGAACACCTCGATTATCTCCAAGCGTTTGGGTTAGATGACTGAGGGAGGACCAAATAAGTAAATTGGAAAATTCCAACCATAAGCAAAATGTGTGCTGATCTTGTGAGCCAGATTTTCATTAGATTTGAGAATAACTGGTGTGTTGTTGTTGTTTGTTTTTTCAGAATGTCCTCATTGTTGAGGTAAGCTGACTTTATACCCATATTTGGAAGTTGAAAGGATGAACGGTGAGTTTTTAAAATGTAGAGCTTGTTATCAAGTTGCCCAAGGATTTATTGAGTTCCCCTGTGTGCATGGCTCTCCAAATTCATTGAGTAGGAGCCAACTAGAATCAGGGACTTGAAATAATGCATTTAAAAGGTTTATATATTTAATTCCTCACATGTCTAAATTGGTCATTATACCCATTTGTGAATCAGATATTTTTACAGAAGAGAAAACTAACCCACAAAGCCAAATTTACTTCATACTTAAGCCAAGGTTAGGACCCTCTTCACCCTTACCTCAGTGTTCTTGCTAATGACTTTGAGTAATTCTACCTTTGCATCGAATCATAAATATAATCAATTTTAAAATGGCAGTCCAAAGGAAAGCTATGAATTAATTTAATTGGTTCTGTTTTAAAAAGAAGGAAGAGAGGGAGGAAGAAAAGAAAGAGTGGAGGGGAGAGAGAGAGAAACAAAGAGATAAAGGGAAGGAAGAAAAGAAAAAAAGAGAAAACACAGGCCCTGGGGCAGCAGTGGACGCAAACGTTCCTATTTCCTTCAAGAGCACACCTGTCTTATCAGCTGGCAGAAATTGGGGGGGAGGGGGAGGGCTGTCTTCAAGCTTTTGTTACACAATTGCCTGTGTGTGCCATATGTATCTGCAGTTCTGGCTCAGACATAACCCATAAAGTAGACCCTCTAGCCAAATGAATTGCCCAACTCTGGCTAAATTCAGACCTCTTGTTTTGATAATCAGTTCCTGACAGCTGATTTCTGTCCCGAGGACAATAAATTGCTGCTGCCCATTCTACTCTAATTGAGCAGCAGCTCATCAGCGGAGATGAGCCTCAGCTCACTGCAGGCTCACACCCTCAGAATTCAAGGGCCGTCACCAGCTGCCGTCCAGACACATCTCACTTCCTAGCCATGGAGTCCCCTATTGAGTGGGGAGGGCAAGGGGGAGGTGTTTATCCATTCAGTGTATTCAGATGTACATCCCTGGTCCATGAAAATTCATGCGTCCTGTATTGTGTCACATAACCTCAGGGCCAAATCGCAGTCCTTGAAAGTGTGTGAGTGAGTCCAAATGTACTCAGGGAGAGCCCCACATGCTCTCCAAAGGCTGAATTTAGCCTTTCAACCCAGCTCAGAGTTTGAGGAAATACTCACCAATGTATTTCCCCAACCCAGCTTCCAGAAAGAAGCACCAGTCCAAAAAAATAGAACCAATTCTGCCTCCTACTTTGACTCCAATTTGATCGCAATTCTAATAGGGATGCATTATTAATAAGGAATATAATTATCTGCCTGAATGAAAAATCTACTATGCTGCCCAAGTGCATTCGGTTCAATTTGTCTGTTCTCTGTGCAAAGGATGTTTTTGGAATGGGAACCGTGAAAGCGCTGCTCGGTAGCATAGAAAAACACAAGCCCAACATGATTCAGGTGGCCAGGTGAGGAGGACGCACATCATTGTTTCTGTCTTCCCAAACGAGCCCAAGAGGGATGCTGGTCCGGGATGCTGTTTTCAGAGAGTGCAGTCTGTTCCAAACCAGTGACCTTCTGCCCTGGGGTGCTACAGTTTGGCCACACTATACACACAGCCCATTGAACTGCGGGCCTGAGAGAGAGGAAAGGGAAGAGCACATGCTTTGCTGTGGCTGAGCCCCTCTTGACTGTGCCTCGAGCTGTTTCCAGGAGCAGCTGGCTGGGCCCCAGGGCCCGGGCCCCCTCCCTTCCTTTATTGAGAGTCACTGAGCTGGTGCTGCACTAGCAGAAGCATGAGTTGGAGGGCTGGGATGATGTCCCATGTGCTCAAGGGGAAAAAAATACATATTTTAAATACTACATATTTTAATGATATTTCATTTTATTTGCAATTCACAGAGATTTTATTTGGATCACTGAAGCTTTTTTTTTTTTTAATGATAGTTTGTTGGTGAAGAGGACACCTAGAAGTTGTGGCTTTAGACCTGACTGTAGGTGTTTTTGGTTTTTGTTTGTTAATGGGTTGCTTCGTGGTGGTAGTTTGTGTGTAAGAAATTCCTATTTGTCGGCATTCTGTCTGAAGTGGAAGCTGCATAGGTTTGAAAGACCCACAAATTCCCAGCCTTGCTAGCGAAACTAGAACTCTTTGCAACAAGGGGCTTACATTTCCTGCCTTGCTCCGCTCACAGGAACTCAGTTGTGTGCATGGATATTTTGATATCTAGGTTTTCCATAGAACCTTATCTCCAAGAGCTCAGAGAATCGGTTTCAGGTGGAGGAGGGAGACTCGGGCTCTCTGGACTGACACAGATGCACAGGATTCCTGCCGTGGCCGCCATCCCCACATGGGACATGGAGAGGCACGGGTAACGGTTCAGAGGCATTCTCATACCAGGCAATGCACAGTGCTGACATGCAGCGAGCCTGAAAATTAGCACACGAAGGGGAAATCCAAGTCATCTCCCCACCACTCCAAACAAAAGTTCAGTAACACAAAGAATTAAGTGAACAGCATAGGGAATAGTCAATAACATTGTAACTAGAGCTATTGTGCTGACCATTTTGCAATGAATAAAAACATCAACCCATGCCTGGCTGCAATGGCTCAGTGGTTGAGTGTCTACCTATGAACCAGGAGGTCACGGTTCAATTCCCAGTCAAGGGCACATGCCCAGGTTGTGGGCTTGATCCCCATTGTGGGGTGTGCAGGAGGCAGCCAATCAATGATTCTCTCTCATCATTGATGTTTCTATCTCTCTCTCCCTCTCCCTTCCTCTCTGAAATAAAAAAATATATATATTTTTTTAAAAAACATTAAACCACTATGTTGTACACCTCAAACTAAGATCATATTGTATGTCATCTGTAATTCAATAAAAAATAAAATATAACTTCACAGAAACAAAACAATAACAGAGAATTAGCAGAGCAAATATCTATAGATACTATCTTCACACTTGCCTTCAGACGTGTGTTCTGGAGGACTTTTCTCATCTAGGGCAGGAGGATAAACAAGCAGCTTGATTATTTATTATTCTAACACTGGAGGTGATTTTTTTTTCACTTGCATAGGCAGACTTCAGCTTGATTTTTATAACTTACATTTGCTCTCAAGCCTCTGGGATAATTTGGCCACAGTTCTCATTAGCAAGCTGAACAAACATTGCAGCAAGAGAAGCATGCTATGGATGGGTAATGTGCCAGTGCTATTTAGCCAGTGACTCTTTATTCGAAAACACAAGTTTCATTCCTATGTGGGATGTATTAAATCTAGACAATGTCAGTTCTGGGCAGATAGACCCAATAGTGTGTTCCTGTCCAGTTACTGGTTTGGGGAATATAATCTGGATATAGTTAAAGTTGGACACGGTTAGTAAACAGAAATCTTCCAAGGAAATAATGTAAGACACTGTTCAGAAAAAGTTTTAACTGAAAGACATTCACTTCAGACATTCCATTAATTACAAATTTCTGTGTCACTTATAGCAACAACACTAATAAAGTAATAACAGCAAACACTAGTAAGTGGATATAATGTTCCCGACTCTGTTCTAAGAGCTATATACACAGATTAACACATTTAATCCTCTAAGGTAGATGCTAAAGTTATGCCCACCTTACAGACGAGGAAATTGAACATAACAAGGTTAAATAGCTGGCCAAGGTCACATAATTGTAACTGTAGAGTCAGTATTGAACCCAGGCAGTCTGGTTTTAATCACTGCTCTTGCGCTTGCAATATACCTGTAACATCTGCAATTGCAAACCTAAGAGTAGGACTTGCACCCATTTACCCAGCTAGAGATAGGTCACTCTGGCTCCCATCCTATTCAACCACGTCTCCCTCTTATTCCATGACACTCTGAAGGTTTGGCTTTCTCAACTGGCTTTTCCCACTCTGAATTTCCATGCCTGTTCTAGGGTTTGCATTGCTCACGGTAAAAATCACTATTATTGCTACAATCAGGGTTTCCTAATGTTCTTTTAGCTAGCTCAGAATCCCTGTTTCTTCTTTCTTTCTGGATTTCTGAATCTTTGTACTTTTTGTTCCTTTCTCCTAATTGACTCTCTCCTCTATGTCCAATGACATCTTTTCTTCTGCTCATCCATCTCCTCTGATTATTTTTCTCAAGAACCTACAGTTTGGACGGTCAAATAGTGACACATAATGCAGTCCCCCAGAAAATAAGTTCCTGTTCCTGTTTTGTTTTTTTTGCTTCAAAATAAGATATGTGCAGTGTGCATAGGAATTTGTTCATAGTTTTTTTTTAAACTATAGTCCAGCCCTCCAACAGTCTGAGGGACAGTGAACTGGCCCCCTGTTTAAAAAGTTTGAGGACCCCTGGTTTGGACGGTCAAATAATGACACATAATGTAGTCCCCCAGAAAATAAGTTCCTTTCCTCTAGCATGTTCTGTGAGCAGGAACCAGTTGGTTTCTCTATGTGGAAGTATCTTTGGTCACAGGAATCAAAGCGGTGGTGGGCAGTACCATGGAGGTAACTTCCTCAGGGCTCTAAGTCCATTGGCTGCATCAAGGTATAGTTTCATAAAAGCAGGCAAGTGTATCGCTCACCTGCAATACTGTGACAAACAAACACAGACTCCAAAACATTGGAAGGAGCTTGAAAAATCATTGGACCATAAGCACATTTATTCTGTCTCAAGGCCTCCAATAAGGAGAGCTATGGTCTTTTCCTTAAGGATCCTTTTCAATAAAAATCATCTTCCTGTCAATAAATTCTTCTTTTGCTTAACCTGAGTACCTTCTACTGCATTTAAATCCATTTACTCTCCTTCTGCCCTTAATAGAGATGAAGAGCTAATTGTTGTCATCTGCATTGTGAACTCCAAGCATTCTCTTCCTCAAGATGAACAATTCCACTTCCTTCATATTGTCTCCCAGGTTTTGCTTCCCAGCTCTGTATCCTGCCGGGGACACTGAGTAGTGTGAGGATCACCTCTTAGTTGCAACAGCCTGCACACCTACTCCCGTACTGCAGTATCGTAATACCTCCTGTGTGAACTGCACTTTGTGCTTTTCAGAGTGTTTGCGTTGGCATTATGCCACTGGGTACTGCTTTGGAACAACACGCCTACATTACTAACTCATGCATACTTCTTAGTATCTGCTGGGCTGCCTGAGCCCTTTCTCAGCTCCGGATACCAGGAGTACAGTCATTCTTTATTGTATGTTGGCTTGTTTGTCTTGTCTTCCTGAGTTCTCGCTCGGGTCCAGGTCCCTGCTGGGCTCGTCCTATGCATTGCTTATCACGTTTTTCACTTGCTTCTGCCTAAATGAAAAGTCCTCACCATTGAAGTGTCAACACTAACATATGGTGGCTTTATGCTTGTTATCTACATTTTTTTTTCTTCTCTCTCTCTGCTCAGATACTGGATTTGAGATTCCAAACTTATTTGTGGTGGGTTATGCCTTAGATTACAATGAATACCTCAGAGATCTGAATGTACGTGTTGCATGCATATCCCTACCCCCATTTTACAAGGACTTCACAGTTTTATCAATTTAACTAATTATTGTCCTAGCCGGTTTGGCTCAGTGGATAGAGCATCGGCCTGCAGACTGAAGGGTCCCAGGTTCGATTCCGGTCAAGGGCATGTACCTTGGTTGTAGGCACATCCCCAGTAGGGGGTGTGCAGAAGGCAGCTGATCAATGCTTCTCTCTCATCGATGTTTCTAACTCTCTATCCCTCTCCCTTCCTCTCTGTAAAAAATCAATAAAATATATTTTTTAAAAAATTTAACTAATTGTTAAAATAGTAATAATTGTGGCTGCCATTTATTGAGTAACTTCTATGTCAGGAATATTCTGGGCACTTTGCATGCATAATCTCAATTCACTCCCCCCATGATAGAAGCAATTATGATTATCTCTTTTTAACTTCTATTTTTATTTTTTATGAGCTCTATTTTATACTAAAAAAAAAAAAAAAATAAGGAAGCCAAAAGCAGAACTATGGCTTGGTATTGATTTTTCTCCAAGTCATTGACTATGCCTACTTACCCACAGTAATGCTATATAATAAAAGCCTAATATGCTAAGTGTCCGACTATTCATTTGACCTTTCAACCAGTCACTATGATGTGCACTGACCACCAGGGGGCAGATGCTCCAACCGGTAGGTTAGCTTGCTTCTGGGGTCCAGCCGATCAAGACTGGGCGAGACAGGCTGGCCACTCCCTGGAGCCCTCCCGTGGTCCCTCCCCATCCCTGATCGTGCACTGGTAAGGTCCTTCAGCCTGGCCTGCACCCTCTCGCAATCCGGGACCCCTTGGGGGATGTCGGAGAGCCAGTTTCAGCCCAATCCCTGCAGGCCAGGCCGAGGGACCCAACTGGTGCACGAATCCTTGCACTGGACCCCTAGTGGTAAATATTCTATAACCTATTTTGTGTCGGAGCTTGAAATCTAGCAGGTACCAATTCGAGTGGCATTCAGCTAGCTTATAGCTATTCCCAATTTGGGGCAGTAGTTTTATTGGTGGCAGGAACAGCACCAGGGGTTACACTGGTAGGGTCACACTAGACCTGGGTTCAGCAACATCGGTACTTGAGTTGTGGCTAAGAAAGAATTTAGAGCCAAGACTCAAACTATAAGAGAACATTTATTTGGAAAGTCACAGAGGTGTAAGAAGTAATTTGTAGGAGAAATGGGCTTAGGAAACAAATTAGGTAAAAGGCCCTTGGAGCTTAGAAGTGAGGGAAGTCAAGGTGACACACTTCGGGGTTTGGGGAAGTGGAGGGAAAACTATGGTGTGCTCCCATGAGGGAGAGTGTGATGCGTTTTCTGTCCTAAGGGTTTTAAAGGTGGAGATTTTAGGGGAAGTCCCGGGGGAAGATCTCAATAGACGATTCACAGATATTCACAGCAGCTTTTCAGATGTGTCTTTCAGTGTTGAGGTCTCCACTGATTGATTGGCTGGCACAGGGGGTCATTAGTCAAGGCAGCTGGCCCTGAGGTTAGCTTGTCTGGTTTTGTTGCTTTTCTGGGCCTGGAGCTGCAGCACAACTGAGGCCTAGATGTTATCTCTAGGGAGGAAAGGTCAGGGGTCCGAACCACAGGAACAGCGATATGCTGGAGAGGAAAGGTCACCCTGGGAACAAGGTCCTATGCTACAGTTGTCCTTTGCTAGGCACCCAGGACTTTGCACCCTGGTGACCTTCTGTACCATAGTTTTCACATATAGACATCGACTCCTGGCTGTGTGACCCTGACCATTACTGAATGATCTAGACATATTACCCAAAACAGACCAATCTCTTTCTCTCTCTCTCTCTCTCCCTCTCCCCCCCTCCTCTTTCTCAATAGACACTTAAACCAAAATCACAGAGACCAAGGAGTTTGAGGCTTAACCAGTGGACTGAGGTCTGGAGCTACCCCTGTTCCTGTCTTTCATTTCCTTCATTGCTCAGCACTTTCTTTGCTTCTGTGAGCTACTCAGTATCTTACCAATAAATCTCCCTATTTTGCTTATATTAGCCTGACTCCATTTCTGTTGCTTGCAACCAAAATATTCCTGACACATTTCTTACTATCCAAAGGGTCAAATAAGAATACATATTATTTTTTTATTATGGCTGTTTCTCCATTCACCCTGTAATTTTACCAGTAGGAGACTTCTATCTACATCACAGCTAAATATACTGCTCCCTAAGCATTTCTGGTTGTTACAGACTTAGGGAGCCAAATTTAGAAAAAGGCTCAAAACTAAAACAATAAAGCATTTTGTCAAGC